AGCTAACAAAAAGTGTTGTGGGAACATATTACCCTACTTTAAAATCTTAAGTGTAGTTGATTTTTATTGGAAATTATTGTTTGGAAAGGACTAATAACATTAAGTGCCTGTTTGGTACAAATTTTAAGTCAATTAAAATCAAATTTTTTTATTGTTATTTCACTATTTCAGCCATCATTCTTACAGGTAGGACCCACTTTATCTCAAACGGTCAAAAAATCAATTATCAAAATATCTACCAATCAAGCTCTAAATCAATAATCTACGATATCGTTTGATTTTGTCATTCATTCATCCTAGATAAGCTTCTTGCTACGAGCTGATCATTACTTATTCCCATAATTTTATACTTGCGTTAGTTTTCAAGTATTCTCTAACATTTTAGTAGAAACTTTTGCCATCAAAATATTTCCTGGAATTCTTTTACTTTTAATGGAATATTGGATCAAAGTTAATTTTTGATAATTTCTGAAATTTTAATATAAATTTTAGTTAGCTTATGAATTTCAACAACATTGAATTTTTAAGAAATTATTTTACTTTTCGCAGATAAGCTAATTGTATACTATGTTGCTTTCTCAAAATGTAAAATTTAACATTTGGGTTTCGAGAAATGTTTCATTTCGTACTTGAGCAACTTTGTTTTTGTTTTTTTTTAATTTTTTTTAATTAATTAATTTATTTTTTCCATCTCCTGTTACCTTTAATGCCTGTCTATGTATACAAAATACACACACATAAAAAAACTTGCTGTTTACGTGACTATAATTGTTAAATATTGAGTAATTTTATTATGAAAATGTGCATATGTTACAAAATTTGCATAATGCGTGACAATGCATGTGTAATCGAACATGTGAAACATTTATTTCAATGGGAACATTCTTTATTTTTAATTTTATTTTAAATTCAATTTGAAATTTAAGAATACAAATACAAAATAAGATAAAAGTAATAGTCGGAATGTGAACCATCTTCCTCGTCATTGCCTTAATTCCTTGCCTGCATGGCATTTTTCCGTCTCTAATTGAACGGACTTAAAGAAGAATTTAGCAATGTTTGGTATTAATTAAAGTCTAGATTTTAATCTTGGTCAAATTCAATAATTTATTTTAACTATATATTTTATGAATCTCACAAAATCTCAACTACATATTTTATCAACTTCTAACAAAATCTACTAAAATCTTATTTTAATCTCTACCTAATAAGAGCTTAATATAGAAAAAATTATGGGAGGCAACATTCTAAAATCATCAATTGTATTGAATTGTAAGACTTTGTGGAAGGTTTTATAAATACATTCTCTAGGGAATTGTTTTGTAAATATTATATGTAGAATCATGCTACAGTATTATAATTCTTGACATAATATTACAAGTCATTTAATCATTGAATTATTTTAAACACAATTAGATTTTACATTGGATTATGTCACTGTATCTATTAAATTTCTTCTGGCGAAGTGGCAAAATCCTTATATGTAAGTTTAGAATGTCAATCACAATCATATGATGTGATTGATCTCCAGTGCCCATTTAAAAGAGTAAGAAGTATAAGTAGAACGGAATGGTCTTATTTAGTGCTTGTTTGAAAGAAGATGTCGGTTTGATACCCAATAGATACTGGGTGATAATGTTGAAACGATTTGGATAAGTTGTATCGACATCTTAGTGATGGTTCGACCCGAAAACAACTTGGATTACTTGAAGCAACTTAATTAATTGAAGGGTAAGTTAGGCCCACAACTCTATTAAATTAACCAATTTGAGCAATGTACTTTTAACTCACCCGTTGGCATCACCGGAGTCGTAGTGGAATACAATACAGAAAGGTGACAGTAAATGCTTTAGATGTGGTGGAAGCTGTCTTTGTGTCACTTAAGTTAAAACATCTACCCCCTTAAGATTGCTGACCCGCATGTTCAAATTGCTGAAAATTTCCCACCTGGGGAGGAGCAACCAGTGAAGCATGAACTTAGTATCACTGGAGTAATCCCCGAATGCATAAATGGAGTTTTTGAGCAAAACGGTGTTAACCCTTTACATGAACCTGTCGTTGGCCACCACCTTTTGACTAATTTGTCCATGAATTGATTATATATATATATAATATATATGATCATGTCATTATTTACATATGAGATTGATCATTACTATATTGAATACATGAATGCTATCAATGTGTGAAATTGAATAATTTTATCACTATCTCATCTTAGATTAAACAAATAGACTGAAAACTGTTGTTTTTGTTAAATTTCTACCAAAAGTCTTAGCTCCCGTTTGGACCCTATTATTTCTCATTACATTAAATTAAAAATTTCTCTCTTCTACTTTTAACCATACAATCTTCAATAAAATAATATTACACGTAAATCAAAAAATTTTCGACCACTTATTTAAAAAAAATACTATTCATCTCATTATAATAACAAATAATGGGACTCAAACACACCCTTAACATAGTAAAATAGATACTAATTATATATATATATATATATATATTGATGATATATTATTTACATATGAGATTGATCATTACTATATTGAGTACATGAATGCTATCGATGTGTGAAATTGAAAATTTTTATTACTATCTCATCTTAGATTAAACAAATAGACTGAAAACCGTTGTTATTTCTAAATTTCTACCAAAAGTCTTAATAGAATAAAATAAATACTAATTATTCAATGAGTATTCGTCACTTTTGTTGAATTTAGTCACTTTTGGAATATTTGATACCTTTTCTAAGTTTGTCACTTTTTTTTTTTAATTTTGTCATTTTCTAAGTGTTTGTCACTTTTTTTTAATTATTTTTATTTTTAGTCACTTTGTTTGAATTTGCTTAACTTTTTTAAGTGTTTATCACTTTTTTTTTTCTATTTTTAGTCACTTTGTTTGAATTTGCTTAACTTTTTTAAGTGTTTGTCACTTTTTTCTTTATTTTCTGTCACTTTTTTCTTTATTTTCTGTCACTTTGTTTGAATTTGCTTGACTTTTTTAATTTGTGTCACTTTTTTAAATTTCTGTATCTTTTTGGAATTTTTGTCACTTTTTTCAATCATCGTTTTAAAATTTCTATCACTTTTTTAGTGACAACCATCAGTTTTTAATAAAAGTGTCATTGTATGTAATTTTTTAATAAAAAAGTGATACTAAACTTTTAAAAGTGACATTTTGTCACTTTTTTTAAAACAAATTTTTTATATAAAAAAAGCGACATTGTGTCACTTTTTAATTTTACACAACATTTTTTATTTTCAAAAAACTTTTCGACTGATTTTTCAAAAAATCCTAATTTTAAAAGTATTTTTGTAAGTTACCTTTAATTTAATATTGCTTGTGGCTCAACACTCATGGATGGCCCAAGTTGTGATTTTTGAATGAAAAAATTACTTAGAAACCTACATTTAAAGATTCAATTTTCAAAAAACAAGGGATTAAGTTTCATTTTCACAAATCAGATGTTAATTAGGTTTTAATAATTAAAATTAATAAAAAAATTTATTCCACTTAATATACATATATCAATCACTCCCACCCAACCTATTTCATCTCTCTCTCTCTCTACGCACCCATCCATCCTAACCAACCATATCCAGAATCTCCGATTGCGATGAAGCTTCTGGGTTGGAAGTGCTAATGCTACTCGCCACGTTGACGATGTTGCTACTGCAAGCAATCTTGTCAGTTGCTCCACTACTGCTGTAAGCAGTACTTGGCCGCAACACGATAACGAAGCTTCTTGTAATTGACGGCATCACTGTTGCTCAAGTACGGGCGAGTGCTATTCACAACAACGATTCTCGCTGCGTTGATGGTGCAGAACTGCACGCTAGTTATGCTTTGGTTAGATTTGGGTGAGATTGTGATACAATGTCGAGTTGTAAATGGGTGGTGGTGATAGAGATGTAAATATAGGTAGTGGTTGTGTGAATCTGTGAATTTGTCGTGATGGTGTTAATTTATATTTGATGTAGATGTGGTGGTGGTTATGGTGGCGAGTTAATGAATTGGACGATGTGATGGTGGGTTTTGGTGCATGTGGTGGAAATGGTGGTAGTACCGATATGGGCATAGCCACAGGTGGTGTAGCCTAAAAGATAGTCCATAGCTACTGGTATTTGGCTTGATTTTTGTCGCATTTGGGAAGGTTTTAGGCTGAATGTTGGTCAAGGGTTGTAGAAGAGGTTGAGGTGGTCATACTAGAAACTACAACAAAAATACCTTTTTGCAACATGCAAAATGCAATATTCACTAATTAAATATTGCTAAAAGGGTCTATTGCAACATTCTAATAAGTGAATGTTGTCATTGGTTTGACAATTGAGATTTGACAACATTTTTAAGCGAATGTTGCTAATGTCGTCTTTTTACAACGTTGTTTAGTGTTGTGAAAAGTTTTATCTTTCGCAACGGTTATAAAATGTTGCAAAAAGGTTTTCTTTATTCACAACGTTCATAAAAGCAAAAAAGTTTCTCTTTCACAACATTCATAAAATGTTACAAAAGGCTTTCTCTTTCGTAACGTTTATAAAACGTTGTAAGAATTTTCTCTTTCACAACGTTTATAAAACATTGCAAAAAAGTTTCTCTTTCGCAACATTTGTAAAACGTTGCCAAAGGCTTTCTCTTTTACAACGTTTAGAAAACATTGCAAAAGCTTTCTCTTTCGCAATGTTTATATGCCAAAAGCTCTCTTTAGCAATATTTAAAAAATGTTGAAAAAGGCTCACCAACCTAGGCCCCATTTTTTCTTTTAGCCCACCATTACCAGCAGCCCAAGTCAAGAGCAAACCCAAAATTCAATCCAATATATCTGAACCCTCACCAATCACACATATCAGCTGATCTATGAGAACGAACAATTACGAAGGCACGGAGACTTTTAATTTTTCTCTCAATCTCTCATTGTCTCACTCTCATCTCTGTAAGCCCTCGATATGGTGCTGTCTACGTTGCCTTTCTTCCATCGATACCATCTGTGGAACCCAAATCCCAATTTATCATATCACGATTATTTCAGTCTCAAATTATACCTCAATGTCCTCTCTCGTCCCTATCAGTTGCCACTGCTACGGAGGTACTCATTTTGTTTATATTTTTTTCTTGTCTGTTAAAGTATTTTAAGATGGAGAATCTGATTTAGGGTGAGCTATGGAGTTGGAGGGTTTTGTGCCTTCACTTTCGTGTGCTGGGTAGTGGGTGGTTGGATTATTTTCAGATTTTGATAGGATTACGGAATCACATTATGAGATTATGATTTATTGCTCGAATATTGAATGGGATTCTAGGAATAGGATTTATTGCTAACATATTCTAGCTCCTTTTAAATATTGAATGGGAATCCAAAATGGGATTAGGATTATATTCAATCTGTGTTTCTAACTCAAAAGCTAAATATAAAAAAACTAGTTTGGTAAATTTGAGTGTTTGCTTCTAAATCTTCCTACGGTTTTAAGAGATTTCGGGTAAGTGAACGAAAATTTCTAATTTCCCTTTTGCTAGAACAATATGTATAATGCTTAGCCATATATGCTAGTACATAAATTTCCCTTTTGCTGCAACAAACAGAAATTTTATTGTTAGGCATCATCAGTAAACAACAAAAGATAGGGACTGCTGCAAGTTAACAATTACCTCATTAAATGGCCATAAATTGCAGCCCCTGCAGGAGGTAGATTCTTTCCTTATTAAAATACTTTTGAGGTTCGATAAATTTATTTTTACCATTTACAAATTTGGTTGTGTAAACATGTCTTGTTAGTTGTTGGCACAATATCGAGAAATAGCTGCCCTTGCTCTATTTGGGTCAGATATTATGCTACAACTCAAGTTCCCTAATGGCCTCCCATATCTTGCTTACTTCTTTATTTAAGTTGGGATGAGACTTTTCGTGAGTTTCTTTTCTTCATTCTAGGCTAACAAGTTGTGAAGAAATCAAATTCATTTCTTTCCCCACTTAAATGCCCCATGGCAGGCACATTCTATAGAAGTCATGCACCTGGTGAATCACCATTCATGAAGGTAATTGATATAAATTTGATGATGGAAAAAGAAAAAAAATTGAAGGTAGAAATGGATTTGTATTTTTAAGGTAGATGTGTGTTTCAATTTTTTTCTATTTTTTGTATACAACACTTGCTCAGAAGAAAATTATCTTGTCATTGGCTTTACTCCTGTTTAGACTATTTCAATGCTTTATTTCTTCTTTCACAGTTTAAGGCTTCACATCTCTCTGCATTTGCATCGTTACATGGTTATATAATCATAGACTGCAACCCTATATCAGTTGATACCCTGAGTAGCTGCATTTTCATGGTCATGTTATTCCCGCATCATAATTTATGCCATATATCAGCTGCTAGATGACACTATATCAGTGTTGATACTGTGAGTTCTCTGGACTAATCATCATTGGTTGATGGAATAAGTGATATACCATTTTAATCTCTCTTCACTTTAAGTGTGTCCTGATTTGCTTACACCTGTTTACAGCCTCTGTTTTTTATTGAATCATTAAGCAGACAGAGTTAAAAGTGCGGAATTAAGGAATAAGATGGCCTGTCTTATATTTAAAGGGGGTTGCTATAGTTAGAATTGGAAATGAAAGTCTCCAATAAATTCCTCTCTACCTATATTAGAATTTGTTGAAATATTTCTTTTACTACTATGTATACTAAACTATTTCATTATTAAAAGTTGGATAGAGTTTAGGAATGCTCCTAAAAGCAATTGGCAGTTTACTAGAATTAACACAAGTTTGCACAAATGTGTACTTTGTTGTGTATCCGAATAAAGGAGTACACCTCTCCAACAAAAAAGGACACTAAAACTATTTACTTTTGACGTACTATTATTAGTTAACATCCATATTTCATTTTCTAAACCTACTAAGTTGTGAAGGCTAGAGGGTTCGGCACAGTCAAAATAAGTTGCAACTAGCTAACTTTTAGTAGGTCAGCTCCTGACTTTCTTTTCTTCTTTTTTTTTTTTTTTTTTTTTTTTTTTTT